ACTTCAATGCAAAACTGATTTTTAGCTACATAGAATATTTCACTTAAGCTAAGCCAAAACTCGCATCACACCACAATGTCATGGTCGGCAAGCCGACTCAGCAATCTTAGGCAATAACGGAAACTCTTGCAGTAAACAAAAGTATCTGGTTACCGCCGCTGACCATTGCAGTTATAGCGCGCTGATACAAAGTATGCAGTGTCGCAATTGCGAGGGCTGTTTCTTAACTTACGAAACACGCGATAGCGAGGGTTGGTTATAAACTTATGAAATACCCTATATTAAATGTTATGTGTTAACTTATATATATATATATATATATATATATATATATATGTGTGTATAGCTATCTCTTTACGTGTTGTCATTGCGAAGCGATTTACATTGCAATTGTAGCTGTTAGCTCTGGCTTTCTTGCTATTGTTGGCGCTGCTTTGATTGCCGTTGAGAGGCTGCGCGTCGTCGTCGTCAGATGTGCATGCACACGATTTCCCAGATAAAACACAATATAAACGACAACTGTTAAGTGTTTGCAGCGAATCGCTTAAAGATGCTGCTTTTTCGATGCTCTTCAAATTAAGATCTGTTTACATTAACAATGCATTAATTTAGCTTAAGTGTAATACAGTTAAATTAATTATAAAGGGGTTGAGCTTGGCAAACTGTAATATATGGGATGTTAGGTTGAAGAAGGTAAGAAATGGCTTGAAATGAAATACTATACTATTCTATTGTCAGCTGCAAGGTAAGAATTCCCTAACATTTTAATAAAGATTTTTTTTAATTTTAATAGTTTAAAGTGCAATTGAAGTTTTACAGGACTGATGCAAATGATGCTCTTAAGCATTAATTCTTATATCTTATGGTTATTTATAAAAGTTACTATTTAAATTCAACCAGTTTAGTTATGCTACTCTATGCTGTCTATTAAATCTTAAGACTAGTAGACCGTTTTCTTCTAATAGAGTATAAGAAAAGGCTCACGACGAGGCAAGCCCCAGCTGGAGTCATGCAGTGTTTGTGGAAACCCCCACCTGGTGTCATGGAGCACATGGGAATGCGACAACTTAAGTATAGTTTTTGCCAAAAATAAAATAAGACTCTGACGCTGCAGACTTGTTCCAATGCAATTTTTTGGCTATTTGGTCAAGAGTTGGGCAACCAGTTTGAGCCAAGCCAAAGATGTCAATGCAAGAAGGAAAAGCAATTAATATAAAAAACGCCGGGAATGTGATTGAACTTTATCAGCATTAGATATTTATCGAGCACACAACATTTTAAATGATGATGGAAGAGTAGGGTTTGCAGTTCACAACATTTAAAAATATTCAACAAACTTTAAGCTTTAAATAGTAACTGCTTCACACAAAACTTTAGCGCACCTTTAATTTTTCTTTTTATCGAAAATCCACCTTTAAGATAGTTTTGTATTTGTATTTATTATAACACTTCCTAGTTATTAGGTTTATCAGGATATTTATAGGGGCAAAGCGATCTGCATTCGCATAGTCGTACGCACGCTTTGAATGCCAAACACCAACTGAACAAACTCGGCTTTACAATTAGGAAACAGAGCCTCGCACACAAAACTATACAAAAAAAAAAAAAATAAATAACCCAATAGAAAACGACTAAGTGAATACGATGAGAAAAAGCTAAGCAGCGCTTTGTATTAGTATTGGTTAGTTTATAAAACACATGCACACAGAAATCGCCCAAAAACAAGCTGAGTGCGCACGCACACAATCACACAAACACTCACTGAGCGAACGACACAGAGAGAGCGAGAGAGAGAGTAAGCGAGACGTGCTGACACGAGTATGTAAAAACCGTTGCAGTCGCCGTCAGCGTCGCTGCCCAGCGGCCAAGCCTGGCCTCTCCCGGTCGGAGGTTCAAGCTGCTTTCTCAGTTTCGCTTTTGTTTACATTCGATAATTGGCTTCGTGCGCTCAAAGTGAACGATCAGACGTGGCGCTACTCGGCAAAGGCTTCTTTCAATAAAGAGCAGCAACTACCGTTGATATTGCTCAATAACTGTAGTTGTTGTCGCGTCTGCTGTTTGCTGCTTGCTGATTTCCCATGCAGTTTAGAACATGACGAAACTGCAGCAGGCTGCAGCCAGTGTCGCACTCGTTTGTCCGTTTTGAATTTATGTTTATAGCACACACATGATGTTGTTGGTTTGGCAATGGTTTATGGCATAAATCTTTGTAGCACATCACGCGTGCATAAATTTCCAGTGTGTGCTCATTAATTAGATAGAATTGACCGTGGCTAAAAGCCTGCCTCGTTACTTGTTAGTTACACTCGCTGACTCTGCTCAGACAAATGAAAACAAACAATAACAAAAGACAAGACCAAAGTCTTAACAATGGCATTGACATCAAAATCAACTAACTAACTGAAACCTATAAAATACATAAAACAACGAGTTGCTATAATCACATTTGCCGAGCAACTAAAATAGTAAATTAGCTATAAATATACTCCTGACATTTGGAGCAGGCCGTTGTCAAGCGCTGCTTTAAATTTCTAATCAAGTTTCTCAATGATCATTATAAGATATAGATAAAAAAATTTTTAGTTTTTCCAGTTGAGATGTATATGTTTTATAAATATGTGATGTGAAATATTAAATACCCTTTAAAAAAATTGCCAAATAAAAACAAAATAGGCAAAAATTAAAAATAAAAAATAAAAATATAAGAATTACAAATTGAAATATAAATAGGAATGAACAATTTTTTTTAAAATTACAAATGAAAAAAAATGGTTAAAAAAATATTTAAATTCAAAAAATTTAAAAAGAAAATGTATTATAAATTTGATAAAATAAAGAATATAATTAAATAACTAATAAATAATAAAAAATATACATAAGTAGCTAAACATGTCGAAGAGGATTTAAAAGCCCACAAATTAGTTTACAAAGTATTGAAAAAAAGAGTCTCAAAATAAATTTTAAATAAAGTATTTTTCAAAAAGCATTCTCTATATCTATAGATTATTCAATCTATTGAAAAGGTTTTTGAATGCACTTAAAGTTGGCCTTAATTAGATTGACCGACTAATAAAAAGCTTACATTTTCAATTTTCAACAATAACGAACCAAGAAACGAGAAAGAACTGAAACTGAAATAGTTACGTGTAGCTTTTGTGGCATATCAGACACGATATCTATGCGACTATCTCATGCACACCAATCTTAACTTAATATAATTTGTAAATCTTTATTTTTTCTTCAAAGATTGTCTACTCACTGTAGGCATACGGAACACAAGCGACACCCGTCCACGGTCTTGGTCAAGCAACCGTTTTGAACTTGAGCGTTTGGCATTTATGCAAATGAACTTCATTTTCATGCATAAATGTTTATCAATGCAAATATATATGTTTATACCTGTATAGCTATTGATTTTTGAATGATCATAAAAATACGTAAAAATAGTAGAAGACAATGGTTGACACATTTGTTGCAAGTCATCCGCACCGACTGGGAGTGTTCTTCAGAAATAGCAGCACAAAAATCGAAAACGAAAACAAATAGAAGCGACTAAACTTGGCCTTTCAAAGTGTGGCCGTAATTACAGACTTCCGCTAGCTGCAAAAGCCCGCCCAAAAGAGAGAGGGAGAGCGAGTGGCGGCTGGGAGAGCTGAAGAGACGTTGGGAGGGAGAGAGAGAAAGAGGAGAGTGGGTTATAGCAGACGAACGGGACAGCTGAAGGCGCCACAAGGTATCCCGTTACAGGGCCATAAAACTTCAATAAGAGCAACTGGCGACAAGGCCAAATTATAACGCATACGCACACGTAGCCAGAGTAGCTGAAGACCCAGCTAATTGGATGCGATAAGACAAGGGGTATGGGGCCATAACGTTGAGGCTGCTGGGGCTGGAGGCTGCTGGCACAGCTGAAAACTTAAAAGTGGGCGGTACATAACAATTGTGGGCGATTTGCATACAATTTGGCGCTAGAATTACCAGCAAAGCGGCGACAAAATGTTGCTGCGTCATTGTCACACATACAAACATGCAGACATACAGAGGGACATACGTACATATTGTACATGTGCATATCTGCATACAGTTAATAAAGCTGAAAACTGGCTCAAACAATAAGCCGCATTGTTGGCCATTGTGCTGCCGTCTGTCGTCTGCCGTCTGTCAGCCTTTCAGTCTGTCTGTCAACACAAACAAACAAATATATCAGAGCCAAAAAAAGAACGGAAAAACGGCAGGCGGACATTGTCAAGGCTGGCCTCTATCTGAAGCTTGCAGTTTAACTGTAAATAAATAAAGACAAGGAGAGAGAGAGAGAAGAAGCCCACACAAACAGATACATTTGCTGATGTCAACATGCTGCCAGCAAGCAAGCAAATGTGCATAGCAACATGTCTGTCTGCGTATGCTAGCTAATTAAGTGTGGTGCGAAACAAACATACGAGAGCCAAAAAAAGTCAAGCACACGTAGTCAAGGTTTAACTGTAATTGAATGAAGTGTGGGAGAGAGATAAAGACAGAGAGAGAGACAGGAAGCAACATACAGAAACTTTAGCTTCACTCAACATGTTGCTAGCAACACTTGTTGCTTTAATAGGCGCACACAACAACAGGCAGAGGTTTGACCTCTTTAGCACTCTAAGTAAAGTAGCCAACAAACCTATAAGAGCAAGAAAAGGCACAAAGACAGCAAAGCCTGGCTATAGCTTGCAATTTAGCTGTAGATAAGGAGAGTGAGAGCGATAGACACACACATCTAATTTAGCTGCAGTCAACAATGTTGCTAGCAACACTTGTTGCTTCAACAAAACACCCACACAGAGGCTTTAGCTTGCCTGGCTGCCTGCCTGCGAGTCCGCCTATTATCCTTAACAAAGAGGACAACATCGGCTGTCGGCTGTCGGCTGTCGTTTGTCGTTTGTTTGTTGTCGGCCGTTCGTGGACAGGTCCTATATAAAACCGGATGTTTCGCCAAACATCTGCACAGAACTGTTTCACATTGTCACGGCCAACAAGTGTCCTGTCCCAAAATAAAGAGCAGAGCAGACTGTGGAACAAGAACAAGCTTCTGCGAGTGGTCAGTGCAAAAGTGCTTCGAATTGGTATTTCTTCAAAAGGAATGTCGATTTAATTGCCCAGCAATTATCCTATAATTTGATATACATTTGAAAAGAAAGGTGAGTTCCGCTTGATCTCTAATTAAAGCGTAGAGTGTGGCCCTGGAAGTTCAGATAGTGCAATTTATTTCAAAGAGAGCCAATGAAATTTGATATTGTATATAATTATTTATAGTTCCAAAGTTATGTGAAATGAGAATGATTGGAAAAGTGAAGTCCATGAAAAAAGATAAGTTAAAAACTCTAACTCAAATAACACAAAAATATTTTTAATACAGAAATAAAAAATAATAGTAAAAAGTATAATAGAGTAATAGATAATACGCTTATTATGGAGTAGTTATTGTCAATTTCTATATATGCTGAAGTATGTAAAATTGTTTTAGAGAAGAAACATAATATCGACCCATAATGCCAATTGATGATGACTAGTTAGTATTAGTATTAGTTTTAGTTAATATTTTTAGCTCAAAACATAGTGAACTTTTTGCCAGTCAAATATTTTGTTCATTCAGGAATACTTTTTTATTTAGCAATTGTTCCTATAGCAGCTAGAAAATAAGTTAAAACTTTTTCCAAATTAAAAAAATATATTTTAAAAATTAGAAATTGAATTAAAAAACTTTTAAGCAAAGCAAAGTGTGAAGAAATCGAAAAAAAATGTTAAATGATTAAATTTAGATAGAAAACTTTAATGAAGAACGAAACAACATTTTTCAACATTCCTAACATTTCGATAAATTTGTTTAAATATTTTAAAATTATTATAGAATACATAAGTAGCATCAGATAGCTTAGCTTTTTAGACAGATGAAGCAGACGAACATGTTTCATGTTTCTCGTTAAATAACTCTTAAATAACACTCAACTTCAAGAGATTTGGTCATAAATCTAGATGTATATAGTTCGAATTTCAAATTTAATATAATTAAACGAGATTCTGGAAAAGAAATTCGTAGTGAATTCGGCTGCAAAGTAGAACAGAAGAGAACCGCATCCAGAGTTAAGTTTATAAAACAGACTTTTTTAGAGGAAGAATTTGAAAATGATTTTTGAAGGCATTAAACTTTATTGAAAAAATAACTTAACATATATATAAAAAAAAATAAAAAAGCTTTCAAGACTTCAAGACTTTCCAAATAAAAAACCAACTGAAATACTGCCTAACACATGAGTTTGTAGTTCACTTTCTATGCCATTTAGAGTTTATGTTTATTGGAATGTCATTTTTGGCAAATATCTAGAAAAAGGTTTTTGAAAAATATCAAATTTCAATTTGGTTCGAATGCATGGCAAAAGGTAAATGAACGTGAAACACGTGCTGCAAGCAATACTAGAGTTAGCATCGAGGTGGCAGTTAGCATATAGTTGTAGTAGTTGCCACACACACATACATGCACACACATGCACGTGTCTTTCATTTTGGTCTTAATGAAAGCAAATTGAATTGTTTACGGCTGCACTTCGGAGAGCAGCAGCCGCCATAAAGCGTCGCTTGATTCCCGTTTCCATTTCCATTTGCTAGCGCAGCGCAGCTCTGCTTTTTTCCGCTTTTCCTCACAGTTTTGCCAGAGGTGGAAACGCTTAGCGTTTTTCTAGTTTCCTGATATGTGCAGCTCAAGAACTAGCGGCGAAGCGTGCGAACATTTTTGATTTATCACTGACAAGGGGAGCAGCTCAGAGTTGGGAGCTACAAATGCTGCAAATATCTGAGTGCCACATGCGGCAATCATTTGTCTTTTTAAATGTCAGCGCTGAGCTGCCTGCCTGCCTACATACCTGATAAATTATATATTTAAATTTAGAAACAAACCGAAGACACTTCAAATGTATCGCATTGCTAAGTTATGAAAATCTGATTAGAAATCTGAATCAAAAAAAAAAAGAAAAGAAACGAAAATAAAAGCGAAACATGCAAAGTTTCAACTTTCATATGGCAGCTAAACGAATTAACGAGTGTGCGTGTGTGTGTGTGTGTGTGTATTGATATTTGATATTTCGGTTGAGCCACGTAGCGTATGCGTAATGTGGCATGAGTGTCAATAATAGGGTGCCTAAAAGTTGCGAAAAATTTGATGAATCTTCTGCTGCTTCTTCGTCGAATCAATGCAGTTGCAGCTGCTGCTGCTGCTAAATGCTGTTGCAACATGCACACTGAGCGCATCAGACGTCATAAATTTGATGACACTTTGTCTGCGCTTCGCTTCGAGTACACAATTCGATTGGGCGCGCATGTTGCAAGCAACACTTTGCGGCAGGCAAATACAAATACAAATAGCAGCAAAAGAGCGAGGGCCAACGGAAGAGTTGCATGAGCGCAAGGGACACGCAGAGCGGCCAAACAACACTTGTCATTCATCACTTATTGCCCCAAATGAATTGCGTCTGATTGCGCTGTCAATACAAACAACAGTAACAGCAACAACAGCAGCAGCAGCAGCAGCAGCAGCAATAAAGCATTAAATAACTTTTTTGTGATACTTTGATACGCTTGTAGAGGGTATTTTAATTTTGGCATGCAACATATGTTTTTGGATGGTATAAGGACTAGTTTTTATAGTGCTTAAATAGAAAAGATGCAACTGAGAAAATATTTCAATTACATATTATTGAAGTAGACAGCTTGAAGCGCATATAAATAAATAGATATGTAGCTATCATAGTACTCAAAGTTAAAGCATATGATTCTGCTATGAAGGTCTTTTGATACCTTTCAGATATATTCGGGAAACTTCGTTGAGGCTGTGTTCATAAACCCTTCCAAGAACTTCAAATCCAATTCCCATGCTCCTAGGCTATTTAATCTTCGTCTCAACATCATTCACTCTTAATTTGTGCATAAAAGTTTTGTGAAATGTAACATTAATGTGGAGTACATAAAATGTATGTTAATGTGCAGCAGTTGCCAGCTCAGACGAGCTCAGCTTAGGGTCAACTTGTTGTTATTGTTGCTGCTGTCTACGGCGTAGTCTGAACAAGTTTTTTAACGGTTTCTTTTCAGCTTTTGGCTAGGCCAATTTTTGAATTGAGCGATAAGTTGACCAACATCGCGCATATTAATGTCAAGTAAAACGCGAAGCAAACTTTTAACTCAGTTTTTGTCTGTCCGACTGTCTGCTACCAAAATATAAAAAGCAACAACATTTTCAGGGTTTTTAACCGTTTTAAAATTTATATTTAAATGTTTAATATACATTTTTAATTTCCACAAGATGCTGAGCTCTATTGCTCTATGACTTTTAGAAAAGGCCAAATTTAGATTTAGCTCCTTTCAAATAAATATGTCTAAATAATTATATATAAGCTCCAAGGCCTGTGCATTGCTTATGTACAACATGTTCGTATAATTTCTATATTACTTCTATATTATCGAGTCTCTTCCAATTTATCTATAATATGTTTAATGGAGCTTTCCTAGAATTCTTAACTTAACAAAATTCTAAGACCTTCCTTTGGTAGTCAACTAAGTTTTTCATAATTCTCAACTTCTGTGAAATAATCGCTAAGTTTCTTGCTTAAGCCAGTTTACTTACCCACCTGATTCTGTTGCAACGTGTAGGCAGCGAGCTTGGCCATTCGAGGCCTTCATCTATGGCCATATCCAAAAGCCATAATCATTTGCATCTCTAATGGGCTGTTTCGCTGCTGACGAAGTGTGAAATGTTCATACATCAACTCGCTCCTGTTGCTGCTGCTGCTGCTGCTCTTCCTACTCATTTGCTGGCTCCACCTCTTTTTTGCTACTCCGTCCTCCACTTCCTGCCCCTTCCGTTGCTCCTCCTGTTCGTAGCGCCTGCTTAGCGCCTTTAACAAGTTGGATTATGGCTCTTAATGTGTGTCTATGTGTGTGTGTGTGTGTGTGTAGACTCATGTTGCTATTGTGGCTGTTGCTGTTGCAGGTGTTGTTGCTGCTGTTGCTGCTGCCTTTTAATGCGCTTGGTTAACTTTTTACGCGCACATTCATATTTCGCTCTTGGCGAGGCGGATGGATTATCGCATAAATATTGTTATGGTTAATTAGCGGGACACTTTCGTCTGGCCCATGGCCAAGGCAAACAAAAGGCGTTAAGCAGCTGGCAGCCTGGCTACCGGAGTAGCTAACAGTAGAAGCAGTAGAAGTTGTTGTTGTTGCGCTGCTTGTTAAGTAAAATGAATGCGTTCATTGCTTTTGGCCAGCGCGAGGGCGTTAATGTGATTAAAACTTGTAATAGATAATGTAGCAAGTGATTTAAGTCAACATCTCATAATTATGTTATTTGCAACCTTTACCTACCACTCTCACTCTTCCTGTGCAGCTCCTCTCAGCCATGGGCATCGCCTTGATGTTTCTGCTGGCTCTCTACCAGATGCAGTCGGCCATACACAGCGAGATCATCGAAGCGCCTAGCTATGTTGAGAACTCACTGCTGGACGCAGAGGAAGTGAATCCCAAGGCAACCGAATCGGATATTTTGGATGGCTTGCTTAGCGACAAGCTCGATCAAACTGAACTCGAATTTCGTTATCCCATCTCGGCCATCGGCATAGACTATAATAAAAATTCCGTGGTGCTGCGCTTTCAGAAGCACGCTCACAAGCCCAACTTCAAGTACGATCCGGACTATGATCTGAAGCGCAAGTCTGTGCAGGATAATTTTATGCGCTTTGGCAAGCGGCAGCCGGAGCAGCTGCCACAGGCAACGGGACCGAGTTACTACGAGGCTGTCAAGCGCTCGGCCATGGATCGCTATGGCCGTGATCCGAAGCAGGACTTCATGCGGTTTGGGCGCTCGCCCTCGGACTTTATGCGCTTTGGTCGTGCGCCGACGGATTTCATGCGTTTCGGCCGTGATCCCAGTCAGGACTTCATGAGATTCGGACGCTCCGATAACTTTATGCGCTTCGGCAGAAATCTCAATTTCCACGAGGAGCTGCGCAGCCCCAAACAGGATTTCATGCGTTTCGGTCGTCCGGATAATTTTATGCGCTTCGGACGTGCGGCGCCAAGTGATTTCGAACGTTACGGCAAAATGGACTCGAATTTCATGCGATTCGGCAAGAGTGTGAACAGATCGGGGGCAGGAACTGGCGCTGGAACTGAAACGGGAACTGGAGCAGCTAGTTCTTCGGAGACCAAGCAGCAAAATAAATTGGAGGGCAAGCAGCAGGGCATTGAGGAGGGCAATCCCGTGGATAAGGCCATATCGATGCTGTTCAACAAGCAGCAGCAGGGTCAACAGGGTCAGGGCCAGGCTCAAAGGTCGTCACAAGATCAGCAACAGTTGAAAAGTGGCGAACAAACCGAATCGGAGGAGCAATTCTATGAACCATAATTTCTTACACACTCAAAACACGCTGTAAATAAATAATATTGGCCAAAAACTGAAAATGATGATACAAATATAAATATATTCACACTATAAATACTGCAATAGAAAACGAAACTATAAAAATGCAGCACAACTGTACTTTGAATTTTTAATAGGGCTGGATTAAAAATTCACCAAGCTTTGATCTGCTCACAAAAAAAAAGAAGCAAGAAATATATTAAAAATATATATATTGAAAACCAAGCAAAGGTCAAAGGTCACACATACACAGAAACACTACAAAAATACCTACCTAATTAAATGTAATATCGGAAATTCGAAATGTTAAATGTACTTCCCTAAAATGCATGCAAATGTTGTGAACAATCTTTTAAATAAAGACAAATCACTAACTATTGTTTGATTACCTCTGTATTTGGACAGCTTAAGAGCTTTAAATTAGGCAGAGCTTTAAATTGACATTGACCTTAACGAAAATTAAATTTGAATTGGGCAATTTGGTGGTGGCGCCATCTGTTGCGTAGCGGCAGCAACAGTGTAAACTCTGCTACGTGCTACAGTTGTTTTTTAAACGCAGTGTGGCAACGCTGAAGCAACAAGTCTTCAGCTAGTGGTGACCGCGTGCAATGTTCAGTAACACAATGAAGCCTTACAGGAATACATATTTATATGAACGATATAAAACTATACATATATAAACCAAAATATAATATATCTTATATTTAATACTTAATAAAAAATAAAATAATACATATTTATGTGGTAAGTTTTAACTTAATAAAAATATTTTTATCTCTAACAATAGTTATCTATCTCAGTTGCTTAGCTCGTTGCGATATCGTGCCGAATCACAACACGATTTCAGCTCTAGTTTAAACAGCTGAATGTTGCGGTTGGCTTCTGGTCGGCACCAACTCAAGTCTCGCATTTGTTTGATTTGCCAATTCAATCTGCACAGACCTTTTATTAACTCAACGAAATCTGAACGGTGAAGAACAAATCAAGTAAGTTGGCAGAAATATAAAATATTTAATTAAAAATTAAATTTGTAGCAGCAACAGCAATTGGCAGTCAAGTCTAAAGTCCAACTTGTTGCTTTGTTGGCGGCGGCAAAGACGGCGAAGGCGGCAATTGTATTTGTTTTTGTTTGCTATCTATACAAAAATATATAAATAAATAATATATTCTCTATATATACATTGTAGATATTGCAATTAGATTAATACGTTGCTGGCTATAAAAGCGATAATGTCGGCTCTGTTGAAAATGCATCGAGGTGAGTTTAAGAAAAACTGTTAATTGTTAAAGATAACAACAAGAGCAACAAACAATTCGGTGATTACATAATTTATATGCTGATGAGATTCGAGCATAAGAAATACATAAAATAATCATAAAAAACGTAAGCTATTTATATAATATGAACATTTGCCAACTCTTCAGACTGACCTGTGCTTTGTTGTTGTTGTTCTGATTGGAGTTAGTATTGGAAATCTTGGTGATTTCTTATCAGCTTATGCGCTTTACTAATTGATGCAATATTCTTTGCAACCACGCCCAGTTCAAAAGCTCTTTACGCCCGCCTTTGTGCGCAGCGTGTCAGAGGCAGCGAAATATCCAAAGATAACCACGCACTACACCGTGCATCCGCGAGATAAGGACGAGAGATGGAAGGAAGTGGACATGGAGCGTTGCGTTGAAGAAGTGGATATCGTCATCGTGGGTGGTGGACCAGCAGGCATGTCAGCAGCCATACGTGCCAAGCAGCTGGCTGCTGAAAAAGATCAGGTGAGCTGCTTATGTCATAGCTGTCCAGATCGTACGATAATCAAAGTTTTATTCTTGTTCAACAGGAAATACGCGTTTGCGTAGTGGAAAAAGCCGCTGAGGCTGGCGGTCATATACTTTCCGGCGCTGTCATCGATCCAATCTCTTTGAACGAGCTCATCCCCGACTGGAAGGAGCAGGGTGCACCATTGAACACACCCGTTTCGAAGGATACGTTCTCGTTCCTTACTGAAACGGGTCGCATATCCATACCCATCTTCAAGGGCTGGCCCATGGACAATCATGGCAATTATGTTGTGCGACTAGGACACTTGGTCAAATGGCTCGGTGATCAGGCGGAGGCATTAGGCGTTGAGATCTATCCGGGCTGTGCAGCCTCTGAGGTGCTGTTCCATGAGGATGGCAGCGTAAAAGGCATTGCCACAAATGATGTGGGCATTGCCAAGAGTGGCGCACCCAAAGAAACTTTTGCACGTGGCATGGAACTACATGCAAAGACCACCATCTTTGCCGAGGGCTGTCGCGGCCACCTTTCAAAGCAGATTATGCAAAAATTCGGCCTCAACGCCGGCAGTGAGCCACAAACCTATGGCATTGGACTCAAGGAGGTGTGGGAGATTGCGCCCGAGCTCCATCAGTGAGTTATCAAGAAAGGATACGCTTAGGCGTAATTTAAACATATCTTATTTATAGACCTGGTTTAGTGGAGCATTCAATTGGCTGGCCCCTGGATCGCTTTACATATGGTGGCTCTTTCCTGTACCATCTAAACGAACCTACGCCCACAATTGCCGTTGGCTTTGTTGTTGGTCTGAACTACAAGAATCCTTGGATTAGTCCCTTCCAAGAGTTCCAGCGTTTTAAGACGCATCCCAAGGTGCGTCATGTCTTTGAGAACGCCACACGCATTGGCTATGGTGCACGTGCCATCAACGAGGGTGGCTATCAAAGCTTGCCCAAGAAGCTATCCTTCCCTGGTGGCTGCCTGGTCGGCTGCAGTGCGGGCTTCCTGAATGTGCCACGCATCAAGGGCTCACACTATGCCATGAAGAGCGGCATGTTGGCCGCTGAAAGCGCTCTGGAGGCTATAAATGAAGGCACGCAGACAACAGCTGGCGTGGAGCCCGTAACTTATGCAGACAAGTGAGCTAGAAGTACCTTACATCTGTGATACTATCTAAAATCTAATATAATTTACTTTTCTAGAATCAAGGACTCGTTTGTCTGGAAAGATTTGTACAAAGTGCGCAACGTGCATCCGTCCTTCCACAATCCTCTGGGCCTCTATGGCGGCCTTGTACTCAGTGGCTTCTCCATATTCATGGGCGGTCGTGAACCCTGGACACTCACGCATGGCCCTCAGGATCACGAATCACTTCAGCCGGCGAATGTTAGTCAACGCATAGTATATCCCAAGCCAGATGGCAAAATCTCGTTTGATTTGCTCTCATCGGTGGCGCTCACAGGCACCAATCACGAGGGCGATCAGCCAGCCCATTTGACGCTCAAGGACGATCGCATACCCGTGGATCACAATTTGGCCATCTACGAGGGACCTGAGCAACGTTTCTGCCCTGCCGGTGTCTACGAATATGTGCCCAACGAGGAGGGCGGCAACATGAAGCTGCAAATCAATGCCCAAAACTGCATTCACTGCAAAACCTGTGATATCAAGGATCCCAAACAGAATATCAATTGGGTTGTGCCCGAAGGTGGCGGCGGCCCTGCCTATAATGGCATGTAAACTGAATGCCAATGCTGCAAAGAGATTTGCAGAAGTTGTACCACAAATGCATTTGATTAGTTTGTAAATTATAAAAAATGAAAGCAAGAGATACTAAATTCAAAATTCTAAATTACTGTTTAAGCAAAAAGGTTGCAATAAAAGATAAAGAAGAATTATCAAAAGTTTGTAAAGTTCAGTTGCCAAAAAGGTTTTTTCTTTGTTTTATTTAAAAGATCGCTACGTTTCATTTTGTTTAAAACATCAACTTAATTTGTAGGTAAATGTTTATGCCACAATCAATTTGTCAAAACCTTTCATATTCAGTGCACGGATAAAACTTGTTTATATAGTATATTATATCATAATTATTATTATATTTTTTTAATTTATTATTATTAGCTGCTCTCTTTATTTTTTTTTTACTCTTTGATGTTTCATCAAAATTTTTGCAAGTTTTTTTGTTTTTTTTTTTTGAACAGAAATACATCGACGATTATTATATATATATAATATCGATCTGGAGCGCATTGTACATATATATTTATCTATATATAGAACTTAACTACTTGCATATCACTTAATTTGTAAAATATTCATTTCTCATTTTTTTTTGCATTTTTTTTAAGACTGCGTTTTGAAGGTTTTATAAACTTTTAAACGCCCTTTTCTGGTACCCAATCATAGCTTAAGTTTGTCATTTTTTAAAACATTATTTTTATAATTGAATCTGTACGTATTTATGTCTTAGTTTGTGCTCGTCAATGATTATCTTCTGGACAACAAATTGCAAATGGAACCACATACAAATATCTTTAACACAAATACCTAATGCACATGAAACATTAACAACATTGAAGATGAGTGGAAAACAAAAAATATAAATGGAAATTAAACTATATTTAACTTTATATACGTATGTATATATATATATAGTTGATCTATAGTGTCTGCCTGTGTATGTATATATATAGATATATGGTTAATGCATAAAGTCTTGTTTGCCTTTTAACACGCTTTGCTTATTTTTCTACTAGAGTTTCATAATCTTAATCAGGTGCTCCATTAAAAACCTCGTACAACAGTGCATTTTCCATTTATTCTTTAACATGTTTAACTAGTTTATTTAATCGCAATTGAATCGTTTCGGATGATTCAATTCAATTCAATATTTACTTAAATGTTGTGGTCCCTGTGACCTATGCATCGCCTTGTAGACGCCCAGCTATACAGTGCACTGCTTCAAATATCATCGTATATATAACTCTATATATATATCTGTATATGTGTATGATCTCTTAAAGTATTCAAAATTTTTCATATGCCAAATTGTAATTTTCTTTTATTTTCCAATCATATTTTTCCCCATTTTTTTGTACATTTTGTGCTGCTCTCTGCTTCTTCCTACTCGAGTAGTTTCCATAAATTTATTTATATTTTGGTTTCTTTTTTCTTTTTAGTTTTAAAGCTTAGTTTAATTCTTTTTAAATTTTTTAGGTTTGCATTAACTACTTGTTTTTTCTTTAAATAGCACAATTAACACCTGTATTGAAATATTTTCACCATCAAGTTTACAGTTTTCATAATTTTGTTTTCATATTTTTTAACATTTATGTTTTTTTTCATTTGTTCATTTGTTCATTTAAGAGGCACTGTTCTTAAGGCAACACACTAGAGAGTGAAGTTTTAGTATACAAAAACAAAAAAAATTTAATATTTTTATTTACACTCAACTGAAAAGGTGAAAAACTGAATTTAGGAGAAAATTTTGTTTGTTGGAAAAGTTTTTTTGTTTTGCAAATTATATTAAAAATTGATTGGTTTTGGGAACTGGTTCAAATGAGTTACACAACATATCAATGGGGAGGGGGTACACTACATTTAACACTCACTGTACTAAGGTAAATTAACTGCAAGTACTTTTTAAAGTACCTTCTAAGTACCTTTTTGAGTATGCTTGACCATATATGGACAATTAATATTCATTTAATTATATTTTTTTAATTTATTCTAATAAATTTGTCGCGAGTTCCTTTCTCATGCACAAAACTATTTAAATTTTCAAAATGTTCTCTATATATTTCTATTAATATGTTTCAAAATATTTCTTAAAAAAAAAGGAACTCGTACAAATTGTTTGTTTCTCAACAGTTTGTTGAATCAATGAATTTCGCTAATTAACATCTCAGTATATTGCTAGAAAATATGTAGCTCGGGCCACTTTATATTTTATATATATATGTATATACACATATACATCAGTTGTATTTGTTATATATATATGTATGTATGTAAAGCTTGTTGTTGTTGTTCATCTTTGGGAAACCTGTAAAGTGTAAATGTTTATTGTTTCTGTGTTCATTTGTTGTGCATTCGGATCGTTAAATTTCGCGCTATATCAAGTATGCACAGCTGCCGCTACAGTCCGTAGCATACAAATAGAAGTACTGTTAAATTATTTGCATACATATATTGTTGTTTTTGTTGTTTTTTGTCTTATTTCTGTTTTGTTTTTCTTTACATATGGGCTGCATAAAGTGCAACAGGTCATGTTGGATCAGAGCAAATATTTACAGAGCGCGTTTACCTTTTTAAGTGTGTTTGCATATATATATATACACATGTGTGTGTGTGTGTATTTATTTAAATGTAAGCAAAAAATAATAAAAACGTGCAATTGACATGTAGACAGCCACACCCACCTAAACACCCAAAGCTAGCTGTTTAAATAAAAAGTAAAAACTGAAGAAATTAAAAAAATTGTTTATAATAATTTTTATTTAAATTATATTTTGTGTTTTTGAGTTGTTGTTGCTGCTGTTGTTTTGTTGTTGTTTTACAAACTGCATATATTGTAGAAAATACAAAAAAGAACTTAAGGCTTCATCGAATCGAAACAGAAATTCACGTTTTCTTTTTTTAAGTTAATTACAAATTATGACTTCGTTTTGCTTACAAATCAAAGAGAATTAAAGTCTATCAAAATAAGGTGTTTGCTTTCTTTTTATACTTAGAAACAAAGTTTTTGTTTTATCATTTAATTTAAGTTTAAAGTAAAGTTCTCGACGCCCACGCAAAAAAGACTAAAAACTTTAAGCTTAATTTAAAATCATAAATTATATTTTTAAATTAAAATTAAACTGAGTCGTTGCTTTAAAATAAAATATATATATATTTTATTATATTTATTTTTATTAATATTGCAAACTATTCAACCAAAATTCATAAATTGCACTTGAATCCAGAAAATTATTGCAAGAAAATTATAAAAAACAAACATATTTTGAGTACATTTTCATGTGTGTGTGTGAGATTTTACAATTTATTTTGTAAAACTTGATCAGATTTTATGTGTAGTTTTATATATAGTATATTATATATGACTTGCATGTATTACGTATCTTTTAAGTGTAATTTTCTTATGCTCTTTTTTAAAACTTATTCAAACCAAATATATATATATATGTGTGTATATATATATGGTATATGTACAATCATAATCACTTAAATTTAGTTTTTCCTTTTTTTAAATTGATTTAAACTAAATCAGCTCAACACACTAACAACTAAACGAGTTTGAAAACTTTACTAGCAACAGTTTTATTAATTTTAATTTAATTTTATATTTTTTTTACTTTTTTAAATTGTTAATTAACTAACTAAGGGGGCGCTTTCAAACTTGACTTATGCCTAATGTTTTCATATGGGGTTTTTTGTGTGTGTGTGTGTTTAGATAACGTTAAATTATAGCTATTAGCAATACACACATATATATGTGTATATATATGTTTATTACTATTATAAGTTACACATTAGACAATAATTGTAGATATGACACTGTCACTTGCTTTTCGCTTAATATTTAAAAAAACCAATAACAAAACTTTTCGCTTCCAGCTGACTAAATCATCAAAACTATTGCACTGGCCTGGAAACGTTACTGTGCTCTGTTCTTGTTTATTGTTGTTGTTGTTGTTGCTGTTGTTGTTGTTGTTGCTGCTGTTGTTGTTGTTGTGGCCCATAGCCCACGGCCAGATGTTGGCTGTAACAGTCATAGCCGCTGCCACGCCCATAGCTGGCAGCACTGTGAAACACGCGTTGTGCAGCATTCTCTTTGCGTGGAGGCGGCGGCATCATGACCAGATCATTGTCACAGCTGCTGCTACTGCTAACTGGCTTCCTGTTGCCACTGTGATGTTGCTGGTGTTGCTGTTGTTGTGGCTGTAGCTTGTAGCTGGCGCCACGTGCCGGCTATGTACCCCAGCCGCCAGATATTCTTGGCCTTTTGTGATTGGGCGCATCGTAGTCGCTCAACTGTTGTTGTTGTTGATGTTGCTGTTGTTGCTGTTGTTGCTGCTGTTGTTGCTGTTGCTGCTGCTGTTGCTGTTGTTGCTGCTGCTGCTGCACAGTAACCGCTTGTAGGCGCACATCCTGCTCGCCATTGGGCGCACCTGCGTTTAAGATAATAAAATCTGTTAACCTATTAGTTGAGCTGCACTGATTGCATATGTGTGTGGCACGGGCAGGCGGCAGGCGGGGGCTTTCTTTGTTTTTTTTTTAAGCCAGACGCAGTGGCATTCAACGCCTGGCAACTCATGTCTATGTGTGTGTGAGTGTGTGTGGGTGGTGTGTATGCTGTGTGTGTGTGTGTGTTAAATGAGCGCACTTGTTAAACTCAGCTTAAGTAGTTAACTAGCTTAAGTTAACTAATGGTTAGTGAAACAGTAATCAAAACAACAAGGCAGGCAATTGTTACATTTCTTTTTTTTTTTTTTTGTAAAAAGTAAAAATTTGCTTCAATTTGACAATTTAGTCTGTTGAAAAGTATGGGGAAAATCAAAAGATAATCTACAAAATTTTGCCTGTGTACGTGTCAGAGCTGATAAACAATCGATAACTACCGATACATGACGTATATAAGAATTTATCGATCAATTAAGTCTACAATTCCGCATTGTACCCACTTTATCGATTAAGATTGATTGGCTAATATACTCGAAAATCGATATGTATACTAAATTACTTTTATCGATATCAAAGATTTACAATTTGTAGTATTGTAATTCGATAAATGTTAATGAAAATATTAAGCTCAAAAATTGATCGATTTTTTACAATTTTTGTATTGTAGTCGTAGACAAAGTTAAGTGTAAATATAGTTTATAGATAAATATATAATCGAAAATGCATCGATTATTGAAGATACTTAATCTATAGTGGATGTTATCGAACGAATGGCAAAGTTAAAAATTTAATTATGCGAATATCTAAGCGATTTATTGATATATTATTGAAATCTTCGATAACTCTTGATAAGACAAATCCCCAATGATATTCCTGCAATCGACAATTTTATCAATATGCCAATCAGCTCTCTGATGTTTGTATGAATGAGATCTTCTCAGATATGTTTTTCTTTGTACGTGAAAAAAATGTATGAAAAATATATATTTGCATGTGTGTTCGTGTATGTTTTCTGTATGTATGTATGTATGTATTTATGTTTGTTTGTGTGTGTTTTGGCCAATTTACCGGCAAAATTCCATCTAGGATTATGTCCCATAAGCGCGCGGTACGGATATCCTTCATACTTATCATGCCCTAAAAATTGTCATATAGTTGTTGTTGGTTAATCAAAACGAACAAAAATTGTTTTGTGAGGCAGCAGCAATAGAGGAGAAGAAGAATCGATAAATAAATGCGACTGCACACGTCACAGAGCGGCACAAGCGGCGTATGCGTAATAATATTAGATTAAGCATACGCCGTGTGAGCACAATTTTGTTTTTGATTTATATATATTTTTTTTCATTTTCTTTTTCTTTTTAGATAGCATTAGAGAACATGCCGCAAAAACACGAAAACTTTCTAAATTAGTAGAAAAACAAAGTTTTTTTTAAATATTTTCTTGCGGATAAAAGCTGATAGGAAAATTTGGAAAAGTAAATAGTGTGGGACATACCTGGTGTCGGTGTTATGTGACCTGTTGAGGAGGGCCGCGAATTGGGCATGACCAGATGCTGTTGCGAATGACTTAGGACGCTTAGATTGGTGGCCTGTTCCGCACTGCCATTCGTGCCGCCGCCACCGCCGCCGCCGGGCGTTAAAACCCCGGCACCGCCCAACTGTGTGATGGCATTGATGGCTGTTAGGACGCCCGTTGTTGAGACATTGCTGCTGGTGCTGCTGCTGCTAGAGCCACTGCCCGTGGACCCGTTGCTGTTATGCTGATGGACACCACCACCACCACCGCCGCCACCGCTGGCCGAGAGATCACGTGGCGGCGATTGCGGTTCCGCTTTGACCTTGATGGAGACGGGCGAACTGGCGGGCGGCGGTGTGCTATTCGAGACAGCCAGATGCGATAGACTGCAAGGCAGATTATGATGTTGGTCGCCGTTAAGTGTTTGCCTGCTGGGGCTGCTGCTGCTGCTATTCGCCGGGCTCGGGGCCTGGACTACCCACCTAGTGTGCTGCACGAGACCCTGATGCCACTGCGGCAGGCCCATTATATCCGCGCTCATGGCACCCGATTGCGAAAAGTCCTGCGCCCCAAACGTATAGCTCGCCAGCGGCGGCATCGGTGTCTGCAACGTCACGACCGGCGTATTCAGTGACGTCTGGCTCTGGCGCTGCTGCAATTATCAAAGCATAGATCAGTCTTAGACTTATGACTTAGGCATAAAGTCATCAGCTGTGGCTGAAGAAAAGCTCTTACTGCTAATCAAAAATATATAGTCGATCTAGTTGCAAGGATTACAAAATCTAATGAATATTCGTGGATTTAAAATGGGAGAAATTGAGTTAATATAGTGTATACATATAAGTATATACAACTATAACCCCAGATGCTATAAATACTATAAGTTACTATAAGTTAGTACTTTCCCAGTCATTTATTCCATACTTTTACAAATGCTTTATAAGGCAATCCCTTTCTGACATACTCTTTAAGCATACATTTCAATTATTTATATTCTTGGAATTGAGAGTTCACACAGTTCTTTGAATTTGTCTTGGCTTAGATACTTTTTCATGGTTATCAAGTTTAAAGCTTTAAATACTTCAATTTTAGTTTGTGACTAGCTCAGGTTTTTTTCTGTTCATTTACTCCACAGTCTTCTTTAAATTCATTGCATAAGATATCTTACATTATTCAGTGTTGCATAATTATAGAATGGAAAGGCCTGCACTGCACACAGTTTGAGCTTACAGCTCATAAACATTATATAATGCTTTATACTAAATGCGCTTATGTAATTTAGTAGTCACACGACGCTTATACTAGACTCTTTGAATATATATAGTGTTGCATAATATAATAAAGGCGTTCTTTTATTTATAAGTGTTGTATAACACAAGTAACAGTAAGGGCTAAAACTAAAAGTTTGTCAAATTTCTCGACAAATTTCTCTAAATATAAGGCTAAAAACATTTCATGCTTTGCTTATAAAAGTTTATCATTTTTGACTGAAAGAAAGCTAAAAACTACATTTCATACGCGTCTTTTCATACACCCTAACTATAATCTAACAAGATAATATTTTACTCTCATTTCTTCAACACATATTTTTAAGCTTAAAGAGAGCACAACTTACATCTGCATAGGCAACATCGTCCGCTGTCGCTGACATATTCGGCGCTATGGTGGGCGGTATTACGACACGCAAATTGGAAGCTCTGCCATTCTGGCTGCCCGGCGATTGCTGTTTAATGGGCAAATGATGCGCTGCAAACATGTTGTTCATTAATTGTTAAGTAAATATATAATAGATGGATGGTCCACTGTCCACACTGTGATTAAGTGTGTAGAAGTGGCAGATTAGGAAGGGGCCGTAATCAAGAGAGGGCGTGTAACAGTTTAAATCACAATTGACTAAAAACTCAGCTAATTGTATGTGTTATGGATATGTGTGTTTATGTGTGTGTTGACAAGTGTCTGTGTGTGTGGGTGTGTGTGTTTGGTTCCCTTATTGTATTATGAATATTGTCAATTATGCCCACCTATGCCAGGACTGGGACCTGGACTGGGTGATCCCACAAGCGGCGAATGTGAATGTGGATAACCGTTTGACATCTCCAACATGGTACCCGATGGATAGACTGATGTATGAAATATATAAAGAATATATATATGCAATAGTTTTTTTTTATCAGAAAAGAATTGGGGGAAAACAAAATTGAAAATCAAAAACAAAAACAATTTGCAGGCAATATTAGAGGTAAGAGAGTAAGAAAGTAAAACCCAAAATGGTTGTTAAGTCTGCCTAAATAACGAGTTGTGCATGCAAAAGGAAAAAAATAAAGTAGCTAGTCATGAAGTAACGAGTTAATTCTGCTCCCTACGACTAATTGAGGTCACTTTGTGTAGGAAAACAAACAAAAGACAAGACAAAACCAAATATGAAATAAAAAAAGTAACGAGTAACGTGTAGCGAGTAGCGAGTGGCTAGTAACGAGCAGCGGGTAGCGTGTAACGAGTTCAATTTAACAAATAAAAGAAATACAAACAGAAACAGTAACAGAAATTGTAATAAATGAAAAAAGTTGTGCACCCGAGTCACTGTACTAACTTATTAAGGACATCCCACCTGAATCCGTCTCCGAACTCGATGGACGTGGGCTGATGTTTGTGTGGGACATTTGTGGGCTGGCCTGCAGCAGATTCTCACCGTAGGAGCCCGGCACTGGCACCGATACTGGCAGCGTGTAGCTCGGATTTGGCATGGGTCGATTTGGTGCACCACCACCGCCACCTCCTCCACCGCCGCCGCCGCCCGTAACACCGCCAATGGTCATTTGGTTGCGCTGCATCATATTCTGAAATTCCTCGTCGATCTTATTGTATTTGGCTTCGGTGCGGGGTGTTAGCGTATAGTCGGCCTCCGCTTCGGGTGAATCCGGTGACATGACGCCGTTTTTGTTCTCCTTCTGCAAATGACAACAGTGCGAGGGAGAGTGAGTGAGTGAGAGCGTGTGCCAGAGAGAGAAATTTGTGTACTCGTAATTGGCTGCGACAGAATGAGACAAGGGTGGGGGTGCACTTGGCACTTGACACGTCGCCGCTTCGTTGATGTGCTAAATTATGTAAATCTTGTCTACGCTCTGCACGGCATTAACATTACAAAACAATTTAAAAGGCAGCAAACAAAAGACAACAGCAACAACAACAACGAGAAGAGCCGCGACAATGCCCGCATTAGAAATGCAAAATACATTGGCGTCTACATCAAGCGTCCCACTAGGCGCTTCCGCCTGACCCTTAAAAGCTCTTTGTTAGGGCTCAAGACGAAAAACGTTTGGTTGCTCAGTTGCATAGCTCTTATTGTTATTGTTGTTTTCTTTATTGTTTTGTTTGTATTTTCCGCGTGGCTGCTGCGCTTTCACAGCTCACTTGACTTTTCATAATTTTATGCAAGCGCCGCGCGATAAATATCGATAGCTGCATAATTAACAAGCAGCGAGTAGCAAAGGAAGAACACACAAACCACGAATAGCTTGTATAACGAGTAACAATTACAACGAGTAGCGTTTATAATAACTAGCGAGTGTAACGAGTAAACGGGTGAAAGCAGCGAGTAACGAGTAGCGCGTACAAAGCATAGCGAGCTTAAACAGTTGAGCTGGAATTACATAAGTACCGAATATAACGAGTAGCGAACACAACACGTAATAGATGTACCGAGTATCAACGTACCGAGTATAGCGTATGCCGAATAAATACCGAGTATAACGAGTAACGAGCGTAATGGGCAAATTAACTCACCTCAATGATATTCTTGTTAGTTAGCGATTCGTGTGGCTCATTGTATTCGGTATATTTGAGCAATACACGATCCATATCGGTGCTGGCATATTGATAGAGCTTATTGCTGGACGAGAAGATGATCAGCGCTATCTCGCAATCGCACAGCACGGACAGCTCGTAGGCCTTCTTCATAACGCCAAACTTGCGCTTGTTGAAGGTCACCTGCGGGTGAAAGAGAGAAAGGGAGAGGGAGAGAGTTCGGTTAATATGAAACAAAAGCGAGCCAACAAAATTGTTCACAATTGGCTGTTCAAATATTTATGGGAAATGTAATTAGAGGCTTCGTCTCATAGTCGAGCACTAACTGCGATTGGTAATGAATCGATTATGGCCAAGTCAAGGCGAGAGGCCAACTACGCTGTTGTTGTGGCTGTCAGTTATGACGCGTTTACGACTTGGTTAGGCATTAACCTTTACGATGCCGCCAATGTCCTCTGCATGAAAGGGTTTCAATCACCCAAGCACGCACACGACACGAGCGAATGGTTCATTTGAAGCAAAGCAACAGTTAGAACAAAGCTAAAGGGCAGTTTGCATGTGTGTGTGTGTGTGGGTGGGTCAATTAGAACTAGTTCATTAAGCATGAAGAAATGTTTTTTTTTAGCGAACATATTTTACTGGAATTTAAATTGTTTGAAATTTTATAGGAACTAGAGTAAGCAGTATAGAGAGTATATAGAGTTCTTTGTTGGTTCTTACTATGAACTATGAACTAGATTCATATCTAAGTTTTTTTTTAAATGAACAGAATGCTTCAAGATTTTATTGTTGCCTGACGGTTTTTACATCTAGTTCATATTTGTTTGACTTGTTAAATAACTTAGTTCTTTGGAAACGAAGCTCTTAGAGCTTAATGCGCTAAAAAGCTTTTAGATTAACTTAAGAACGACAACAAGCTTTAAGTAGAGAATAAAAAACTTTAAATGTCTGGGCAAAAATTAAAGAACCTTTATACAGGTTTCAAGTATATGTGAAAAGAACTACGAGCTTCAAGAGCAAGTTAAATATATTTTTTTGATATGCGAGAGTTCATGATTAGAATTAGTTTATAGCTGCTTACTCCCATTATGAGAGCGAAATATGAAATTAAAGAGCAAACAGACTAAGCAATTTCCATAAACTATTCCCGCAAGCTTTTCTCAAGTTCAGCTATAATTGAGCTACATTTGGTGTGCTTCCCGCCTCTTCGGCATTAAGTTGAAGCCCCTTGAATTGTTTGCAAATATATTAATTAATAAATTTCTAGGCATTCTTGGCTAACTTTTTACCACAAAGAAACTGAGAGTTGCTTTAATATTTAGTGTACGCCACGGATATTAAGTATACGCAACGTTTCACTCACCTGTCGATTGCGTTCATCGGTGATGCGTGAAATCTGAATTTTTTTGCGACCCATGGCAACAGATTTCGATTTGATACACCCAAATGCTGTTGACAATAATAATATTTCCTTATTGATGTTGCTGCTTGTTGTTGTTGTTGTTGTTTGTTCCACTTCCTGTTGCTGCGGTTATTGTATTAGTGGCTGACTGAAATGTAAGGCAGCAGTTAGCCCTACTCCTTGTTGCTGCTGCTGCTGTCGCTGTGGCAAACGTTGGGCATATTATATATATATATTTATTCACTCTGATCTCTATTTATATATATATATATATATATATATACATATATATAGTTATGTATATAAGTGCTGGACGGTTTCTCGAAACGGCAAAGTGTTTGTTTTTCTTTTATTTGTTTTTATTTATTGTTTGCTCTTGTGATTGTATATTTATATATATTTGTTGCAGTGTAAAGTGTATTCTCAGGTATCTGCAAAAGAGTGAGAAAAATAGAAAATAAATTAATATATGTATATATAAACAGGTGAATGGGCAGCTGTGCCCAGCTAGACTATTCAACTCGAGCTTAACCCATTTGCCCGTTGACTTCAAAAGATGCGCCTGGTTGAGCAGGCAGGCAGGCAGTGGCTCAACTTGTTGACGCTTCATTGGCCACGTGCCGAAAGTTCAATGCACCTAACTTCGTCTAAGCACTCTGCTCCAGAAGCTGACCTATTTTTTTTGTTTTGACCTAATCCTATTGGCCAGATTCCTTGAATTAATTGATGCTCTGCTGCGCTATGGCATTGCAAATCCTTTAATATGTTTTTCTCCTTTTTTTGCCTTGGCTCTAGCCTTCGCCCTTTATAACATGCGGTTCGCTGGACACGCTCTCACGCGTGATTAGCACCGTTTGCCTACGCGCACGCTTTGATGTCCTTCAGGTGTCACCCACACACACGCACACATACACACTGTGACGCCCACCTACGCACAACCACAACAGGCCACACGCTTTCTACATTATGTATTCATCAAAACAAAAGGCAAGAAAAAAAAACAGAAGTTGCAAATCGAAAAGTTTTTGATTTGCTTTTAAAAGAAAAATACAAATTCATAAAAAAACAATGTTATTGAAATGAATTCTTATGAAAGTAAATCTTATTAGACTTTTAAATTGTTCAAATATTAACTCATCAGACATAAATATGAATGCAACATAAAGATGATCAGCTATACAATTTCCTTGAGAATCGTTCAAAAACTGAAGAATTTGCATTACATTTGCTTTGTTAACATATTTTAACTTAACATAGGCATTGCCTGTTGTGTTCAGTTCAGCCAATATTTTGCAAAAGTTTTGCTTATGTTATTAACATTTACTTTATCTATTTAAGCTCTTAATTTACGTCTGATCCATTAACAACATTTCTATGTGTTACTATGTGTTAGATGCCGCTGTTAAGTTCGCACTATTATTTTAATATTTGTTACACTCTGTTAAGCAATTCGTTTTATGTTGCTGTGATGTAAGCTCTGTTATACTCTCAGCAACATTTTATGTAACATTTCTAAATATTTTAATAACATTACTATAACAGATTTGATATTAAGAAGACATCAGGTTAAGCAAGGAATGTAAATATGTCAATTACCTTAAAACAGTTACAGTTCACATTTCATACCAATGTTAAGCAACTGTCGTTATCTAATTCACTATTTGCCAACTTTTTAATGCTCATTCAGAGCTATTTTTGGCACTTTAATATACCCATTTTGTGTGGCGCTTAACTACAGGATATAAAATAAAACAGACGCCTGCGGCTACTGCCAAGGCACGTGGCTGAAAAACGCGACTAACATCTTAGAGCAGTCTCCATTAGCAAACACACACACAAACACACACACATTTACACCCTCTGTCTGTGTGCGTGTGTCTAACTGTGTAAACATGGCAATTCTTGTTGCTTGCCACGGCGGGAAAGCGCAAATTTCCGAGTGCGAGTGCCGGAAATCGAGGCAGATGAATTTCAATTGCTCCGCTTGCCTCCCGTTTGCCGTTGTTCCTTTTTGTTGTTGTCGTCAACTCTCCCTTGCGCCCGCTCTGGCTTTCTCTCTTTCTGTGCGTTGCTGGCTTGTTTGTCCTACGGCCAGGACAACGTGGCTGCCAAGGCAACGTTTGCTTAAAAACGAGCGAGCCTCACGCAGCAACAACAACGACAATGACGACCTACGCAATATGTTTCAGCTTTCAACCCTGGCCTACCCTGCTGGGGTACGAGCTGTTGGATTTGTTTGGTCGCTTCAACCTTGGCGTACGCCCAAATAGGGAAACAGGAACCAACCCAAAAAAAAAAAAAAAATAAAACTCGATACAACAATGATTATGTGGAGCGTGCGTGCGTTTTGTATGCTTTGTCATTATTATTGAAATAAAAGAAAGAAAAGCGAAAGAACTACGAATTTTTGTGAGTTTGTTGTCAATAAATCGATAGCATATCGATAATGCGCGAATGACTCGACGATCTGCTCTGATAAATGCAATATATATACATATATATATATATATATATATATATATATACATAGTTTGGCTAGCTAGTCATTTAGTTTTGGACTTAGTCATTGCAGTTACTTTAGCTATTAGTCAGTTAGTGCAGCGTACCTTTTACTTTTCGCATTACACATACGCAACGTTGCACAAAGTGGCTAGCTAATGAAGCAGCCCACGCCCATGCCCACCTGGCTGGACACACAATCAATTTATAAACTTATTAACTAGCACAGACACACGCCCAATCGAAGGCAAATAAAATACTTTCGAGTGCTATCCAAAAGCAATTAAGATACATAATTAGTTTGATGAAGTGCGTCAGGTAACAAATTGCGAAACACACAAATGCACAAATGCGTTCGAGCAACGAGAGTAAATTGAAGTAGGTAGAAGCGGGCTACAGATAAGGCATAGAGAGCTTTCGATTGGTAGAAAATGAGTTTGAATTGGATTATTATATATTTTATATACTAAAAACTTACATTTGAGATTTTAGAGTTCTAAAAATTTCTATAAATAAATATATTTATATTTAGCTCAGAGTGAAAACATGGGCAAATACTTTGGATTGATCTAGTTTACTATATTAAATTTAATATATTTTAATATATATAATTAAAACTATTTTTTGCAGCAGTTCAAGCCCTATACACAGTTTTTAGCATATATATCTTAGATAAATATATATAAATATATAAGCTCTGCACACAGAGCAAACAAAGTTTAGTTTTGGGTTACACAAAACCACAAAAAAAGCCCAAAAAAGTTGCCGTCTTAATTAAAAGTGAAAAAAGTGCGAAAACTTAATCCCACGGTCTACGGGTCAAACAACAAATATTGACATTAAACAGAAAATCTATTGACTCAATATTGATGGTAAAGTGTTTACTAGTGATCTCCGTCGAGGGCGATAGCATTGATATGGGTACCTTTATAAGTCATTAAACCACTCGACTGCGGCTATGAAGCCTAAATGTTACTCAGCTCCCATTTGTATATATATATATATATGTATATTTAGTGAAAGGGCAGCGTAACGATAAAAACTAAACGCACACAAATCGAAGCTCAACCTCTAAATGGTGATAAGGACCCGCATTGAAACAACAACAACAACAACAGCAACGTCAACAAAGAAGAGAAATGCGTCACAGAATAGCACGAAAACATGAATAATTGAAGCTGCTTAGCGGTTGGGCCAGAGGCGCCCCAGAAATGAGGTAGGCGGGACAGTTGGGAGTGTCGAAGCGTCGCCTGGCAGCTGGCAATTAAAGCGTGTGTACGCTACGTGTGCGTGTGTGTCTGTGTGCTTAGCTTATTAAATTCAAATTAATTCAAATATTCGATACGCTTCGAATTTCAATGCAAAAAAAACTGCAATGCGAGCTTAACTTATAGCTGGCACATCAAAGATACAAATACAGAAGAGCACGCAGCAGGACATAAAGAGCAGCATAGGCAACATCAGCTCATCAAACGTTTGAATTACAAATTTATAGCATACTTATGAGCGTCAGAGTTGAAGGAGGTGCAATACTAGGAGAAGCAGCAGCACTTGAAAAGATGGTAGATCTAAGATCTTTAAGGCAAATTATCATTGCAAATTTATTTTGATATATACATATATATACATATTTATATATATATATAAATTTATAGAAAAAAATAATTAATTTAAGTAACAAATTGAGTGGAATGGAAATATTAAGATATAGTTAGTCAATATTTGACTGTGCAGAAATAAATAAATCAAGCTTAAAATATGTATAAAGTTGATTAGAAATTAAATAGTCAGAATATCAAATGTTCTATCTAGAACAAATTTGAATTTACGATATAAACTTAAGTGGAGCTATATCAAGACACATCCCAGAAGACTAATGCGCTCACAATGATATCTTGTCATCAGCAAAATAGACAGAGACCCAAACATGCTAAGAGTCCTTGAAGAAATGTAGAAAGACAGTAATAGATACTAAAGCAGGCTAAAAAAATTAGCTAAATTATTATTTTTATTTCAAATTAGTTTGGAATGTAGTGCAGACCTTCGCTCCAGGCCAAACTGATATGTAGTTTCTTATACCTTGATATTAATTCTTTCGTCTTTTCTGCTTTCTTTCACTTGTTATACCCAATACTCATTGCTAATGGGTAATCAGGGCATAACCTTAGCTAAGGAAATGATTTACCATGTAGCGGTAGCGATAGCACAGAGCGTAGCAAGAAGATGAATTGACAAAATATGTATTTGTTTTTATTCTCATTGGAATAATCAGCCATGATTGTTAGAACAAGTTATTATATTATAGCTAACAAACTATATAGTACGTAGTATAACTTCAAAATACTGAAAACTAAGTGTTCGATTCAGGTCAGGAATTTAAGCCCGCATCTCCTTTAGCTTCAATTGTGACTAAAGCAATTCGACAATATATACAACTAAGTTAATATATCTACTACATACTTCAAATATGCAACTGCCCTCTACTCCATCAACTATTGAAACCTACAAGGAACATAACTTGACAAGTGTTTTTTATTCACTATTCAATCATTTCCGATTGCTGCTGCTGCTGCTGCTGTAGGTGCTTATCAATGCGATGGGCTTATCAAAATCTGCATTGGCTGCCGCACTTCCCGCTCAGCTGCTGGTCAAGCGATTAGATTGTTGGAAAACAAAAACTTACTTCAACTGCCGAAAACAAATACAAAGGAAAACAACAAACAAAATGTAAACCTAGGTAGCTATAAATCAAAATGACACGTCCCAGGAATGCGTGTAAAGGTGTAAACGTGTGTTTTCTGTATTGTTAGCCAAAAAATAAGAAAAAACGTTAAGTAAAGCAGAAACAGCAAAGCTTTGCTAGGTAGCTGCACAAGTGTTAACTGTGACTAATTGCAGGTAGCAGGCGACCAGGTGAGCTAATCAACCCGGA